CCCTCAAACAGACAGGGCATAGTAATATTTAATAAAAGCGCACACATAATCTTCAGAATTAGCATTTTGTGCCTTGCAGTACCTTTGGGAGAAGAGCTTTTATTTGTGGAGTGATCATTATTATAACAAAGAAGAGCTACCTAATAATTTCCACTTTAACTCTGCAATATGCCACGAGCATTTCTGAACCATTATGCTAAACTGTGGCGGGGTAATCATTTTATTGTCACAGTTTGAAGGAAGAAAAATCCCCTGTATATCAGTAGCTAGGGGAGTACGGGAACACAGGAACACAGTGACACACATAACACACAATGAAAAACTTTTCCTTTTTTGCTACCCGTGTGCTGAAGTTGGTACCTACCGTCCTTTGTATGGAAGGTGATAAGATTTTAACAATGTATACTCTGAGAAAAAAATGAATATTTCAGAAGAACATTGTTTCTCTTGAAAGTCATTAAGGCTTTTGCTCATAAATCCTCAAAATGTATCAATAGAGCCCTTAGCATTGAAGTCCATGGCAAAATTCCCATTGGCTTCGCTAAGTTTGGGATTGCAGTGCCTCCCTCTAACATCTCTATCTGTTAACTCAAACCGCCGGAGCAGCACAATGAAACATGTCAGATGTTAACACTGATTTGCCTTGATATTATGCAAAGAAGGAGAGCAGCTCATTAAGGCTCATAACCGTTAGGCCGTTTCAGCAGGTGGAGGATGTGGCCACATCACCTTCAGCAAGGAGCTGCAAGGTCCGTGCCTGCAGTCGGAGGGGTAATATTTAGTTTTTCCTCAGTCCAATGACTGTTCTGAAAACATGCGGCAAATGTAGTACACTCGCGGTAGAGTCTTAAAAATCTTATCTGATAGTTAGGCTACAAAACTCTTTTGGTTCTGGTTGTAGCTGGCTGCCAGCTGTTCATTAAAAAAAAATGTTTATATGTGTAAGAATGTGTAATTATTCTTTTTTATTATAATTCTTCTCTAGACTTAAAGTCCATTCATGTTATCAATCATGTACGCTTCATTGCCTTTATTATCTAAAGTCCTTCACTGCATTTTTTTTATCAGGGAAGTTTGAGACTTCAACTAAAATCTCTTTTTCTACAGAAAAACATACATTTTATGTAACTTTTTCATATTTGTTTTAAAAACACCATCTTAGAAATGATGCTTTGCTGTTACAGAAGGGCATGTGAAGTGATAATATTTTGAAACAAAATATTTTGTTTTTCTTGGAAACATTAAAAAGTGTTATAGTTAATTACAGATAGAGATTCTGGAACTTTGCACTCTGCAAAAAGATGTTCTGTACTTCAGTTTCTCTTCTGACCAAAACAAAATGTAGAAAAATCAAGGTCTCCAATGAAAAGATTGTTCTGCCTAGCTCTGTTTTTCTAGGGTTGCACAGAAGTAAACACCTTCCAGACAGCGCTTTGAAGTTGCCAAAATGATTAACAGAAGAAATATGAAGAGCTGAGGGCCTGAGCTGGCCAGACATTTGTACCAGGGGCATAAATAGAGCTGAGGTCATTGCCTTGCCCCGCTCCCAGCGTTACCTGTGGTGACGCTGGCAAATGGGACCCGATCCTGCCATCCTCCTTCCTGGTGCTCCAAGGAAAGGGCCTGGGAAGGGCCAGGTTTTAGTAAGGCCAATGTCCCAAACGACACTGGCTGTTGCAAATATGTCATTGTATAAACAGGTTTTGTGCCTTCAAAAACAGGTAGCAGTCTGGATGCCTCCCGCAGCACGTCTCCTTGGGCTTCCTCGGGGTGCAGCCCTTCAGCGCAGCTTCCCTGGCAGGGCAGCACCTTCGTGCAGCCCTTCCAGACTTTACAGATGCTAGCATTTCAAGATAAGAGAAGCTGTGTGGGGAAAGTTGGGAAGTCCACTGGTTTTTGTGACTGGTCCCAAGGGAAAATAATGCCCTGAAATCTTTCGGGAATGCATAGCGCTCTCGCTGCTGCTCAGGTAGCTCCCGCAAAGGGTGCCAACCTGCCCTGCTTATTAAATCACCACGTCCTGACTTCTCCTCCTCAGAGGAGATGTCCTGGGCTATTGCCAGCAGTTTGTGAGGCACTGATTCAGCACAATTGCTACATATTTAAATAAAATTACACGTGCGAGTGGTCACATTGACTTTGTGGGTGAGAGTGTCCCAGTGAACAACCCACAGCCCCGGTGCAGCCCAAGGACCTGAGTGTCTGCTTGAAGTCCCCCTGGCTGCCCCGGGACTTGGCACGTAGCTGATACTAAGCACATACATGTATAAAGTATCAGAAGCGAACACATGAGGCAGCACAGACAGTGCAGCACCTTGCTCTTCGGGGAGCGATGTAGGTATCGCAAAGAACATCCCAAGATAAAGAGTAAGACCTTTAGTGGGGACCTGTAACTGCAGAACAGTATCTTGCATTCATTTTAAAGATGAATTGAATCTATGATTTTGAAGCCTGCATATGTTTTCTGTTAATGGCTTATGGTCTCAAACAGTTTTTATTCACTGGTGTTTAGGAAAAAATGTTGTTTGTAGTCTTTAAGAAAAGTAGCTCATTCTCTGACACATGGGAAACTGATTATCTTCGGGTTTTATTGTGGGGTGTGTGTGTCCACAATCAACTGGAAATACTGGAAAGGGTGTAATTTGGAAATTATTTTAATTTTTATTTATGAAAAAGTTCGATTCTGTGAAAGGGCTAGATGGCATTTTGAAAAGCTGCTTTCACTGTAAATCCATTGCTGTGAGCTCAGCTGAAAGGAAAGCATTTGGTTTTGGACTTTGCAATGGTTTTTATGCACAGTTTTATGCAAGTAACTTGAATCCAAATTAAACATATTGAAGTTACTTCTGTGTGCGCGCTACATTTTCGTGACGGTAATGTTAGGATGTTTCTTTTGTTAGCTCATGTAAAAGTTAATGGCTGTGCTCTGCCAAGTTTGGAGTAGGGTAATGATTTTTTTTTTTGCCTGCATGTTTGTGTTTTTCACTGGAGCTGGCATCCCCGTCAGCTTAAGTAGTGGAAAAGTTTGTGCCTGACACAACCTTTTGTAGGTAGGGACGGGGTCTGTATGCATGCGTTCCATCACCGGTGGTGCGAGTCTGTCGCAGCGCCCACAGAAACACTCGCTGCCGAGGGTGACTCAACAGCTCCCGTTCCAGCTCCCTCCGGCTTCCCAGCTCCACACCCACCCACCCTGCCCGGGGGCTGGGAGGAAGGAGCTCCTCATCAGCCTTACCGACTCTCCCAGTTAGCTCCAACCACCAGAACTTCGCTAAATAATCACGAAGATGCACAGGCTCTCTTTAGCACTCTATGTCTGGAGCATTTCAAAGTAGACTTCTGTGAATGAATCAATTTACTGTCTTTACAATTAGAAGGATGTAGGGCAGGGGCTGTGCCACTCCACGGCCACATTGAGTAATTCATGGGTGCAAGGGTGTTGTCCTGGATGGTGCTAACACATGGGTGGCTTTCACACCCCGTCTTCCTAGTAAATCCTTACCTGATGAAGTGCCTGAGCGCTCTCCCTTGAGTATATCATCAAATAGTCAAAGTTACAAACCGAATTAGCAGCTCAGCCAGCCTTTTGACCAAGTAGTAATTCACAGCCAAATGCCAGCAACCCTAGAAGAGGTATATATGCAGATATATATATATGCAGCTAACGAAGTCCTGCTGATTGACACCTGATTGACATTGCAGAATCAGCGTGGGCAATGGCAGCCCTTCGTGTGTTTTCAGTGGAGCCAGCCTCTTCTCTCTGCTGAGGACTGGGTTCGTATCTAAAGGAAAGAATCTTTCTTTTCAACATTGAGGTTGACTGGTGGAGTTTTGCTGCTCCTTAAAGAATCTGTTTTTCATGGCTAATGAAATTGTTGAGGTACCCACTTTACTTAAAATGTTATCTAACGGTATGGTGTCATATTTTCACCTCATGCTGTATTAGCGAGGAGAAGTTGGTGGCATTTGGGATGGAGTTGCTTCTTTTCATTAACCTGTATGACCACCCCGACACTCCACAGCTGAGAGTTACCCAGGGCTTTTTGTCTTATTCAGGTTATTTTTACAGCAATGTTATTCCTGTTGCTTCAGCACAGTTAAATTCTGATGCACTCTGGTACTGCAGTGGCGGAGAATCAGTATGTGGGTCTTTACATTACCCTATCCCACCAATATATAAAGTTGAGCATGCTTCCACTTATATAGTCTTAAACCAGAAGATCTTACACCAAGATTTGAGCTTACTACCTTGAGCAGTGCTTGAGTTTTCAACATCCTCTCAGGAGGCACTTAGTATATACGAGGCCAAGAAAGTGGCTAGTGAAAGCGGGGATAGACTCTATGAATATGGCAGAATGCATCGCACACGCTTCCTAATTATCCAGTAGATGCAACATAACTGGAATGACCAGATTGCAGGGCTGTAGGGTTTGGTTCTGGTTTTTTTTTTTTTTCTGTAGTAGCCAGAGCATTAAGCAGGGCAGGGTAGTTTAATACTAGAACAACCTGGACCTGATTGCAGAAGAGTTAAGGAAATGCTGAGGGTTGCACCCTTTTCTGTTTAGCCAATATTTTCCATAATATTTATAGCAGTTTCCCTGATGAATTTAGGTTATGATGGATAATAAAGCAAGCTCACTGGAGATTGTTTTAACTCAGGTAGTGCACATTTCATATAGAATAAAGATAGGGATTTGTCCTGATTTCCAGTTGGTCTCTGCCCATCATGCTGTGATTTTTTTGTTAATGTAGGCTTAAAAAAGTTAATTTTTTCAATGCAGATAACAAAACCAAACAGAAATTAACTGAGAAAAAATGCTTCCAAAGATACAGTTTGAGGTCATGCACATGTACTAGAAAGAACGTGATTGCTGAAATCTTTGTGTTAGTAAGGGGGGAAAATGAAAGCGCCTTTTATTTTATTTTTCTCAAGTCTTCTGTCATTAAAATCTGGTTCTAACAGCAGAATACTTCTCTTTTTCATGTGTGTTGAAAAGCAGCTACACCATGTATCAAAGCCATCAGTCCAAGTGAAGGATGGACTACAGGAGGTGCCACTGTCATCATCATAGGAGACAATTTCTTTGATGGGTTACAGGTCATATTCGGCACCATGCTGGTTTGGAGTGAGGTAGGTGTTGTCTGAACGGTAATGTCTAATAGCTTTGTCTAGCTTATAGCTAGCCTGTCCTTTTTCTATGCCACATGCTAAATCAGCAACAAATGTTCAGATGTGAATCCTTTCCTCGTTCAGTTTTATGAAAATAATTAGTCAAATTTACCTGTGGCAGAAATCCATTATAGCCAGGGGATTTGCATATCCTCTCACTGGCCCAGAATTTAGCTCAGTGCCTTTTATTCCAAGAAAAGGGAAGGATAAATGCCCGTGTGAATAATTCTGCATTTAGCACTACAATAGCTAAGGGCCCACAGGAAACAAATGTTTAGGTGATCCTGCTTTCCAGGGAAACTGGCTGCTTGTAGCTGCAATCTCCACCTCATTGAGCTGCAGAAATTCAGCGCCTCTGAATAGCATATCCTTAAAGTGTAGGTGCTTGGTGTAAGTACCATCTGCATAATAGCAGCGAAATACACAGTATTGTATCCACAGTGGAAAATACAGACTCATCATACCTAGCGGGGGCCTCTGTAGTTTCACAGTAACCCTTTTTCTGTTTCTTATCCATTTTTTGCTGTTGCTCTTCCTCCCAGTTTCTTAAACCCTCTCTTCTCCTGGCACATAATTAAATGTGGAGTCCGATATTCCCCAAAAGCCTGCGGAAAGTTAAAACCCGGGAAGCATCACCCGAAGGGCCACTTCCAGAGCGCAGGGCCATAGAAGTCGGGGCAGAGTTCCCACTGGCTTCACTGGCACAGGAAGGCGGCTCCAAGGAAAGGTTTACATTTTACATATATGGCTTTCCAAAAGCATTTTGGACGTTTTATAAGAAATAGTTATTTTCCTGATTTTAATACTGAAATAAACATGCTAACAGACAAACCAGCATCTCTGAAATAGCTATACAATGCTTACCCAGTGACGTAAGGATCTTCTGATGCTTTGCCTTATATCCTATAAATATTAAATCAACATTATAGCTTAATTCATATCCAGCACAGTCCCCCTACTGATTCCATTGCACATATGGCAGCAGTTTTTCCATATGAAGAGTATCCTCTAATGTCCTTCATGGGCTTCACTATTCTCTCTCTCTCTCATCCTTCCACTTGAGGACAAGAGTGGATGAAAGGGCATTCCAGGAAAGGAGATGTATTAAATGAGCCCTATTCTGAAGCCCTTATGTGATCATGAAAGTGCCCCCTGGGTCCCGTGTAAGCATTTTGTGTGTTAGGATTGAAGCCATTATGGCTACAGACGTTTAACAGGGAAAGGTGAAGAGGCTGGGAGGAAAGTGCTCTGATTTTGGTGCTGCAGAATTGGGTCTTTCATTATAAAACTTGATTCTATTTATTAGTGGAAGACATTAATTGGCAATTTCTAACCTCAGGAGAGTGAGTGCTGGTCAAAACACTGTTGCTGATGGTTGCAAGGCGTTGTCATAAAATTAATAATGTTAGAGGGGGTCCAGACCAAAGTCAGTCTGTTGTGAATGCTCTAACGGGCTGCAAGTTGGCTTCGAGTGAAAACTGCTTCACTGTCTCTCCTTTACAGAATTGCTTCTCAGTTTCAGAACCTATGAGAGCAGCAGAAAATCCTATAGGGGAAAAGAAATGATTTCTAAAAGAAGCAGACAGACATGATAAACAAGTGCAGAAATGCATGAGCTGTCTGAGTGATCCCTAAATAATAGTGATCTATAAATAATTCAAATTACACATACTAGCCACATATGAAGTACAAAATAAGTTCTTTCATTTGCCTTCCCATTTCTAAAAATGTCTAGTGCATTTTCAGTACCCAGGGAGAATATTTTTGTTTTACTTTAATAAAATGTGGAATTGAATTGTTGATCTTCAGACCTGGAGCAGGTTCATCCTGAGTTGCCAGTCAGGCCCCGTTTGGAGCAAACCTGGCCAGGTTATTTTGCCATTGAATTCAAGAAGAATTTTCAAGTTCATCCTGTTATTTCATGGATCCAAAGAAAACATGATTTTTAACTGTAGAAAATCCAAAGCAAAACTCGATAGGTGGAAACTAAAGAAAAAAGTGTGAGTCTTGCAGAGCATTTTCACATGGATTTTTCTAGCTTCACTTTCAGTTGTAATCGCAGGTGGTTTGGGGGATGAAGTCTAATATTTAAATTAAGCATCATTTTGCCACATACTTTGCATGGGACCTTGGGCAAGTCACATAATCTGCTTAAAGTTCAATTCCCTTTCTCTAACATAGTAATAAGATTAGTCACCTTCTTTGGAGAGGTGCTGTGAAGATAATTATCATAACGGTCCTATATTACTCAGATTTTATTACAGCAAAATCCATGTAAGTACCTGAGATGCATGGATATTTAAAATATAAATCCTACCACAGTTCAGAAGCAAAGCTAAAAGCCAAAAAAAAATATCGTTCGTTTTAAGGGTGAATTTGTTGCTGTCAAGCAGCATATGTTATATATAATTTGAAATGTAAATAATATATTTTTAATTTATTTTACATGTATTCAAGTTTTGTAATTGAAATATTTATATGCTTGAAATGGAGTTGACTGTGTTAAAAAAGGAGGCTTAAAATGGTTTCTGAAACACATATTTATTATTTAAACATATATTTTAGCTGTAAACACTCTAACATAATTACAACCTTTCTCAGCCAGGGAGAACTAAATAAAAACTTAATTTGTCACATTAATTTCGTGCAGAAATGCAGATACCCTAAGCCAGTAGGTTCAATTAATCCTTAACTCCCATATTGCTTTATAAAAATTACTTTAAAAGCCCTTGATATTTTTAGAATACAGCAAAATGGGCCATTTAATGCCTTTTTTTTTTCAAGGGACATTCGTAACTGACAGGCAAACGGCATTGGTATATCGTGTGCACATGCTGAATCTGGACAGACAACTCCCAGCAAATAGTCGGTTTGCCAGATAGACTCTGCCTTTCTGTTTGTCCAGCCACAAACAGATGGAGTTGTTATTTGCAGGTTTTTGCCCAGCGTTCTGGGGCTGTGTGTTGTTGCAAATATTCAAAATCTGAGCTGCTGATAAAAATCCTCTCTTGTTTCTCTCTCTTATTGGGGGGCTGAAACTCCAGGAGTCGAGTTTCAGGGCAAATACACGATTGTGAAGACAAAATTAGTTTCTTATAAATATTCCACAATATTTGCTTAAAATGAACTATTTCTTCAAACATTTTCCTGCCAAGAACATTCCTCCAGCTGTACAGAGTCAGCTGGAAACAACTTCTTTTTCTTTTATATTAAGAAAAGATGAAGCACTGAAACATCAGTTCTTTTACCTTTGTACAGCACAAAAACAGAGGATGATTTTTTGGTTTGGCATTTTTGTTTTTTTTTAATGCTGCTGAATCAAATTCTGTGACACAGTTTTTTATTTTGCTTTTTATGTTTATTATTGATTTTGGAAGTCTCTGTTTCTCAGTGCTTATTTTGGAGGTTTGACTCATTTTAAAAAAATCAGTAGGCACCCTCTTTTTGAATACCAAGGCTTATTAAGCAACATCTGGATGTCCAGAATTGAGGCATGCAAAGTCACTGGTAATTTTAAAAAGTATAGGTATCTCAAGGGTCCGGTTCTAGCTGAAAGCTGTCATTACCTTCAGTTGGTGGGATTTTTCTTCATTGCTGTCCTAATGGTCCTCTTCACACAGAGTCCAAGTTAAATTTATGACTGATTGTCACCATTTCCCTAACCACAAACCAGAGCTCAAGCATGCAAAAATAAACTAGTGACTCAGATTAATGACATCTCCTTATAAAATGTCACTTTTAAAAAAAGAAAGTAACCTGGCACTCTGAAGAGTGTGAAATGATGCTGTATCACACAAGAATGTCTAGAATATATTAGCAAACCACAGAAAGAGGCTTGTTGTACACACTCAAACCAAATGTGTTTTGGATTTTGAAGGACACGCTCCTCCCTCCATTCTGAAGGTTTCTAACTCAGGTTTTAATGCAATCCACAGCATGTCCCAACTGACATGTCAGAGTTTATATCAAACAGCTAGTGCAGTTGCAAGTATCAGACCAATTCACTTGAAAAATCCCTTGGGAGAAAGGGTCCAGTTGCCAGTTTTATGTCCAGCTCCAGATCTCAATTAGCCAAATGCTGGAATGGAAGAGGAAGCTGGATCTGGGATTTTGGCTGGTGCGTTCATCTCCAAATCACAGGTTAATGCCTTGCGCAAGATTTACATTTAAAAAATGTGTTCAGAAATGTACGTAACTAATATTTACGAATTCTTAGCTCTTGGCATGCCATTGCTATGGTTGTTATGAAGTCTGTTAACGCACCGAGAGTTCCCACCTGAGGTTATGACATAGAAATGGCCATATGGCGTCAGACATGGAGGTTCATCTAGCTCAGCATCTCGTGTTTGGTGCTGGGCAATGACAGATGTCTATAAAAACAACAGGATGAGCATGTAGCTCTGCTTTGCCAGAACACTCTACCAGCCTCCAGCAGTTTGCGGCTCAGAGGCTTCCACAAGTGGTGTCTTTACTTTTAATATCCCTTAATGCTAATAATTCACCTTTTCCAGGTGCTTTACGTACAAATATGAGACAGACTATGCCTTGAAGGTACAGGCTATGCCAGTATGAAAGGAGAAAACATGCTAGGAAAAGGTGGAATCCACATTCCCAAGGTCAGGCCATAGGTTGACAGGGTAGATGGGAAAACGTCCCATAATCCTGGAGTTATTGAAGTCAGGGGCAGATTTGCTCTTGCTGTGGGTGGGCCTGGAATACCCAGACCCGTGCAGCACCCATTGGGTCACTCGGATTGCAAAACGGAGTTAGGGCAATTCGGAGAGCTGGTCCTGGTCTGTAATGCAGATCCTGGCAGCACTAGGGAATCAGAGTTTGAGACCAAAGGTGAGGTTCAGAGGGCAGGTTTTGAAGTGCAGTGACGTTGTTTGTCCCTTAAAGACAATTTCTTGATATGACAGCAATACAGGGGACTACTGGTATGTAACCAAGCTAGCCAGTTCCTTTCTGTGTGCATGAGAACTGAAGGCTGACCCGGAACAAAGGTCCTTCCAGCTCGGCACTATATCCCTGACAGTGGTCAGTGGCAGATGCTAAGGAGAAAAAGCCAAAGGAAAAGGCACGTGTATTCTCCTGGTATACCTCCCAAGCTTTAGTTCTAGAGAAGAGAGGAGTAAAATATATCCCGAGTATCCTAAACCATAGGACTTCAGACATAATGTTCACCCTTTGGGAATGTGTGGGCGACATTATTGTATATTTGTGGTTTTAAACACAGTTAAACTTATTTACTTCAGAGCACAAAGGAAAACCAAACTGTTTGTGGAGAACAAACCAGGAAACTTGCTTAACTCTCCCCAGCTCTCTGTAACAATGGACCATAAATAGGTCAGACATTTCTTGGGAACCAGGGAAGATGAGTATTGGAAAATGCCACAAATTATGTTTAAAGAACATTAAAGTGGTGACAGACCAGTAAATGCTGGGAAATTCAAAGATACAACCAGAAGCTGCCTGTATAGCTCATGCCAGAATGGGGGTTGAGGGGTGCAAGGCACATGCTGATGTAGTAAGACTAGCATGTTAACCTTTACTGTTAAAATCCTTGGCTGTTTTTACAAATATTTTCCCCCTAAAAATGTCATGAAACTGTTCTCATCTCGCCAGTTCATCCAGTTAACTAGAACCACTTGAGGATGGGATTTATCTCAGCTGTGTTTGGCTGCCTACAGTTAAGCATCTAGTCTAAACTTGTCGTCTCGGTTCATTGGAGAAAGGTAGATGCTTCCAGAGAGCAGCTCATCCCAACGTGAGAGGTGTCTAAAGCACTGGAAATAAATTGCTATTTGGCAGGGCTTTCTGCCTCCACTGACTATCGAGGGTGTGTAGAGAACTGGTCTAGACTTTTAGGCTTTGGTCAGCCCAACTGTAAAACAGCCCAATTTAAGTAAAAGCAATCCTTGGAAGTTTGGGGTTTGGTTCTGGGGGTTTTGGTGTTTTTTTTGTTTTTTTTTTTTTTTACCCAGTTGATAGAGTAATTTAGAAAAAAGCCAGGTTTCTTTTACAAATAAATAAGTTTCTAAATCACCTGATTTCAAAGCAGAGCCTGAAAACGTGTTCTTTAGAGCTTACGAACAAAAGGCATCAATTCCTACATGACCATTTCTGAAATGACATACTTATGACTTCTATGGATCTGAATAACTTTTGGAGCATTTGGTGCTGGTAGTTTTGGTTTTAATCTTCAACTTGATTTAATATTAACTTTCTTATTTTAAATATGGAGAACTTCCTACTGTGTATGCCATTTCCCTCAGTAACACAGATGGCTCTCAGACAGACATTACTCTCCTGTGCTTTTTTAGTCCTGTGCCCTAAACAAAGAACGGGTTTGAAGTCTGATTTTTTGGTAGGACCTTACTACAATTTTGAAATATTTGGTTCCTAGTAAAAATAAAATTAGCTTTTTATTTAAAAAAAAAAAAATCTATTCCTGGATCCAGGACATGAGTCAACCAACAGCATAGAGCAGTTGACTGTCTGCATAGGATGCCCACGGTTTTGCCTGCTGTCAAGGCTGGTCGTGGTCTTGTTTGCCTCTCCAGAAGCGTGCTAATGTGCCACAGTCAGTTAGAGAAGGATTATCCATGTGGCAGAGCTGTCTCTTGGTTGCTGGACACAATCGTGTCACCTTTTCTATGTACCTCTTTTTACTGCTCTTGTCTGAGGGAGCATAATGAGCGAGAAGAGGACATTTCAGTGATGGGGAGGATGATGCTGTAGTTTCTGAGTGCAGCAGAGATTTGAGTTAACCTGCCATAAATTAGCGAACTCCTAGGTGGCTCTAATATTATTTTCTGGGACTGTGTTTTAAATCCAGTCCAGAATTCTGAAAGAAAAAAAATGGTCTAGAGCCTGGAAAGTGCAGCACTGACCCACCCCAACCTTTTGCGTTAAGAGGATCAGGATCCCCAGCCCCATTAGCAAGAAAGTTAAATTTGTCTACTTATTACTGTGTAAATCCACATCTGTAGGAGCCCTCTCAGATGTGTGTCCATCATTGCAGTGAAGGCAGACTGGAAGTGATAGTTAGATGGTTATATTTGGTATCTCTCTTTTGAGTGCTCTGATCATTTGCAAGGCAAGATCCAGCATCCTTCAGAAACCAAACTTTGCATTTCTGCAGTAATCAGTTATACCTCCACAAAATGAATAGAAAATTAAACCAGCAGCACATGGTGCTTTTGCGGTGCACAGATGTCAGCTGGGGACCAGTGTGCTTAAAAGCCTGCCCGGGCTTGGGCTGTGCAGTGAATCTCAGCCTGGGCTTGCCCTGTGCCATGTTCACACATGTAACTGCGTATCATCTATCAATGGGATTTGTTGGACACTGTCATGACCCCAGTGTTCACCTGAGCAAACATAGACATCCTGCTGCTGTAAGCTGAAGTTATTGCATTAAACCAGGGCTAATGCTTGTACTAGGAAGCAAGTGCCTGCCATGTATGAAAACAGAAATAATGTTGTTAGGGCTGAGAAGGAGACTGCTTGTAAATATTGTAGTCGCTGGCTTTTGTGTGGGTTTCATCAAGATTGTATTCAAACATTGACAGGTTAATTACATGTTTCAAAGCTTGTTTACTGTGATCTGAGAGGAAAGTGTTATTAAAGAAGTGTTCAGCATCTAACAGTGCTTTTTTTTCCCCTTTCTTCTCCCTTCTCAATGTTTTCCTCTAGCTGATTACTCCTCATGCCATCCGCGTACAGACGCCTCCGCGACATATCCCAGGGGTTGTAGAAGTCACATTGTCCTACAAGTCTAAGCAGTTTTGCAAGGGAACACCTGGAAGATTCATTTACACAGGTAAGGATGCTTTAGTACTAGATATAACGTGGAGAAATAGGGCAGGCAATATATCACGCTTGCTAGGGCTTCTGCTTTCATCATTAAAAGCTGTACTGTATTTTATTATTTTGGCTGAGCACGTCATTGAAGGTTCCAGTTTACGGCTGGATTTCAGAAATGGGTGACCGTAGAGATGAATCTGAAAACATACCAGTGTGGGATTTTTGTTTGCTTGTTTGTCCTCACGATGGGACATCTCTTTACCCAGGAGGGGGGAGGAAGGAGAGAAACAGATACTCCAGTACTTAAACAGAGGAAGAGTGTGAGCATAAAGAGCCAGACATACTCGTGCAATCACGAATCTGCCTTCCAAGAAGCGTCTTGCTAAATATTTCCATCTCATGTTGCCTGGCAAGTGTTGCAAATATTCAAAGCAGCAGCATGTTTGCCTGCCCATCTCTCCATAGCATACTTGTCTCTGGCTTCCAGGAAGGCTAAGTAGCTTTCACCCCAGCCGATGCTGCAGACATTGGGACTTGCAGTTTGTTTTGGGGTGGCATCCCACACTGAGACCACTAAGTTGAGTGGTTTGGCCTGAAGAATTATTAACAAAAAAACACGCGAGGACATTGAAGGTGCTGTCAATGTTAAATCCCTCTCAGCAGTGATAAGAATGGCCTGGGAAATAAATCAAGTAGCAGCCTAACTTTTTAAAAAGAATGTGTGTCATTGATTCCTTGGAAGGTACGCATGCTACAAGAATTAACGGCTTGGTCCAGGTTTTGATGTGCTTGTCCTTTTATGCGCTTGTTGTTCAACACAGACAGGACTACTTCTGTATGTAACTGTCTGCCTGAACTGTGGTTTATCACAATCCAGTGCAATTCCTTTCCCCATTCTTGACTGCCCTGAAACTTTAAGAATAAGATATATCACAAATACTTGTGGCTACGAGGCATTCTGAATTTTCACTGGGCACATATATTGCTCCAGCTGTGAATGTACGCACAGGGACTCGAGGCAGAGGAGAGACTTCTGTGCTCCAGCTGGGTAACACAGACAGGACTACTTCTGTAACTGTTTGCCTGAACTGTGGTTTATCACAATCCAGTGCAATTCCTTTCCCCATTCTTGACTGCCCTGAAACTTTAAGAATAAGATATATCACAAATACTTGTGGCTACGAGGCATTCTGAATTTTCACTGGGCACATATATTGCTCCAGCTGTGAATGTACGCACAGGGACTCGAGGCAGAGGAGAGACTTCTGTGCTCCAGCTGGGTAGCAAAGCTCCATTTGATTTTTCTTAACGCTGAGCAAGTTGAACAAAGGTGCCTTATGAAGCTTTGTTGTCTTCTTCAAATACCCTCTCCCCTAGTTGGGATTATGCACTGGGTTTCTTTAAACTGGGTCTTAAAGGGTTCATATATTGCCTTGCTAGCTGAGCAGCAGGCGCATGTAGAGGCTCTGTGTATATATTGTGAGCATTATGATTTCAACAACGTGTGGGAAATTCATATATTGGACAATAACACACCATACCAAAAAAGTTATTTGGGGTTTGAATGTATCGGAACAAAAGAAAAAGCAAAGGGGCAAATTGCCAGTGTCTACCGCATGAAAGTGTCAGCCAGAGCTCTGGACAGTTTGACCATGAATCCTTTCCCTTCTCACTTTCTTACTCACAATAAGTTGTGCTGTCCTGCTTGTTGTCGAGCCAGCGGGGTGGCTGCATCTTGGGCTGGTGAAACACCAAGCATGCATGCAGAAGAAGAAGAAGAAAGGGAGGAAACCTGCCCGCCTTGACGTCGTGAAGAAATTTGGGGGGACTTCGTTTTGCGATTTAAATGTAAAAATGGCTTGGACCCATTTTGGTTTTGCTTTTCAGATCATCGTTAATTAGCTTTTCCAGTAAAAAGGAGGGCGGCAGTTTAGCCTGTCTGCCTAGAAGCAGATGGCTGAATGTGGAAATAAGGTGTCCCAGTAGACAGAGTGTTTCCATATATGCATTTTCAGGTTAGTGTTTAAAACACGTTATTTTTCATTCGATAAATGAAAGTTATGAAATACTAAACAAGAATGATAAAATCAAAGGTGATCAAATCCATGGACAATTCCCTTACTTATGCAGCTTTTATGGAGCTACGGTAGATACAGAAAAGCTATTGTGACTGAAATCGTACCTCAGACAATTTGCATTTTCCTTTTAGAGACAGCCTGAACTTAAATGTGGCTTTTTAGAAAGGACTAAATGAAACTAAAATAAAAACAATTAATGCATCCTGACCTTCAGAAGTGCCTTCCAGCCCTTTAAACAAAATGCAGGTTCAGTACACGCCTGCCGATTAGTTTTAGTTAATTGAAAATTATAGGATTGACCCAAGAGGAAAATTTTGTTTGCACTCCAATCACTTTTACAAATTAAGGAAAATTACCACAATTTTGTTTAGCTAAGGTTTCACACTGAGTTCACGAAATTAGCTCAGCCATCCCAACAAAGTCAGCACTTTGTTAGTGAGCACTAGAAAAAAACTAATAGTCTATGGTGTGTACAAACGAAGCATAGAAAAAGCTATGATGCTTTAGAGAACTAGGCCAAGTGTTTTTAATTAGGATTATTGGTTCATTGTAAGTTTTGAAGAACAATCAAACTAGCAGATTAGCTGTTTCTTTTAAAGCTAGAATTTCTTGCCATTCATTTTTCCCATGAGAACTTGTTTTAACTCCCACATAGCACTATTTTTTTTTCTTTTTTTTTTTTTTAACAAGGCCTGCAGGAAATGGACCAATTGGAAGTTGGGATACAGTAACATTCCCCAGCATCACTCCAGCCGATGGGAGCTTTTCACAATGTTCTTCAGTGAACTCAGTGTTCTGGAACATATTACAAAACCACAGAGGCCAAATGTTTTCTCAGAGGAGTTTGGCCTCTGTTTTTGGCCGAAAACATTTCAGCATCACTTGCTGCTTATTTACCCTGCTGTTAAGAACAAGAAAAGGGGAGAGGAGAAAAAGGGAAAAAAAAATAAGAGTGTGTGAGAGAGAGAGAAAAAGACCTGGGGTTTGTGGGCGGTGCAGGAGTTGATCAAGCGTAGTTTCCTTTCTGGTGAGAATGTCCCTGCTCGTTAATGGTCCCATTTTGTGGTCAGGTCTCATTTAGAAGAAATTATTTTTAATCAGTGTTCAACAAAATATCCCCTCAAGCCACCTGGCTGTCAACTGTTTTTTTCTTACTGTTAAGTACTTAAGTTCTCAGAAGAAAATACCCAGTGAGCCATTAATTTTAGCCCTTTTTTTTGCCTTTAACTGCAAATAACTTAGTAACATGATCTCTAAGTAGTCCATGTGCCATCTAGGAATCAAGGTCACATATATACAGAGAAATCCTGGCTTTTGTAAGTATTTTTGAAAGAAACAAACCAGTGTCAACCATGTGCTTACAAGAAAACATAAGTTTTTTATTTTCCATCTGCAAAGCAAGCCATTAGCATGCACTTACAGAGCAATTATTTCTTACATTTTAAGCTTTGACATTCCTGAGAGAACGTTGTTAGAAATAGAGAAGTCTGAACACATCTTGCATGTGTGTTCATTTTGGAATAATATTAGAAGTCCATATTGCACACAGAAATACCCAGAGATGCTGTTCACTATTTCCCTGTGGCACCCTTCATCTGTAAGTCTCTTCTGGTATGGAAGAGCACTGAATGAATTAAGCTTCATGTCACAACTTTGGAGTCAGGTATGTGTCACTGCCATTATTTTAGGACTGGAGAAACTGAGATAAAGGAAGAAGCCATTGGGGATACAAACCCATAGGTAGTTTGCCAAGGTAACTCAGGGTATGTATGGCTGAGTTAAATAAGGGATGAGAAGTGGCACAAATTTGTGATGCCTGGACAGGCCTTTGAGATTTCTGTTTGTTTGTTTTAATTTTAAAAAATGGATGCGTCATGGACAGCATGATTTTCACAGATGAATTTTGCTGTGGTACTAAACCGCGAGCGTTGAGTGGGACTGCACGAATGTAAGTGAAAGGAGAATTTATCTCACTGCACATTGGAAAGGACATATGGAGGGTCCATAAAAATACATTATGCTGTGTCTTCTACCACCTGCTCAGTTTAAGGTTTTGTGCTTTTGTTCCTAAACTGGAGCAAAGGACTACATAGGGGCCAGAAATATATACCTTTGTCACTAAGGTTGTGTATATAACACGGGGTTAATTTAGATTTTTGGCTGAGCAGTACCCCAAATACTGGTCCTTTTTTTGAAAATTGGTTACATGGTTGGAATTTAGGGACCATTTTCATTTGCATCAGTCTTGCAGGGAGGCTGTGGGCTAAACCGTTTGTGTGCTGACAGGGTACCTAGAGAAACAGGCAAGTCCCGCCCCCCCCCCGGTTCATTTGGGCTTTGTTATAAGCTATGGGATATGGTATGTCTCTATAAGTGCTACTAACAGGAACAGGCGGATTTAGGGTCAGTGTAGACACATGGGGCTTGCTGGGCAGTGTGAATAACCCAGATGCTGAGCGCTGATCCTCCAGGATAATTGTGACGAAGGCCGAGTAGGTCAGAGTGGAGCACTGCCAAGACTGACCAGTGTTTGCATTACGCCTTTGGGCCATTGTGCGTGAAGTGATGTAGAAATGCTAGCACTGGTCAGGATATTCGCAGAATTTCTGGGAAACTGCCTCTTTCTCTGAAATGTCATAGGGCTTCTCAGAGAAGTTTTCACTCCCCTAGTTGCTACAAAGTAGAAATAGCCTTATGTGGAAAAATCCCTGCTCCATCCTCATTTCATCCTTTATTTACTTCTGAAAACATTTGAGCCTGTGTACAAACAGGAAGAGCCTCGCGGATCACAGATGATTTGGGTAACATTTTCAAAAGCCTCGGTTTTAGGTGGCTTCATTTTTAGGTTTTTATCTTTAAATGGTTTAATTTACAGAAGCACAGGGGTAGTCGTCTTCTGAGAATCACTCTCTTTTCATTTCTTAAGTTAAATACCTCT